GAACAGAACAGGACAAAAATGCATATTACTGCACAGGAGAATGCCACCGATGCCACTGGGAGTCCCCAAGCCATTCCTCAGCCGTTCTTGGAAGCCAATTTTGGAAGAACGGGTCAAAATTGTTCTTCAAAATCTGCTGCCAGGAATGGTTGAGGAATGGCTTGGAGACTCCCGGCAGCATTGGTGGCATTCTCCTGTGCAGTAATATGCATTTTTGTCCTGTTCTGTTCCATTCCTTTCCTGTTCCTGTAAGTGCTGTGCAATAAAGTCTATAATTCGCTGCTGATTCTGCCAGGATGTCGCCGGCCAAATGCAGCCCTGCTCAAAACCGTGCTCAGTTGGCACTTTTTCAGAAACTGAAGTATTCCAACTTGAGAAATTGGCTGGCTGAGCAGGCTGCATTTGGCCAATGGCATTATGGCAAAATCAGCAGCAAATTATGCCTGATAACATCCGGCTGTATCCCCAATGAAGGACTGAAGCTGGAAGAGGTAAAACATCTCTTTAGGCCTTGTGATAAGGTCCATTAATAGTTTCTCCCTTAAAGAATTATCTAAATTTGAAATGCATCTCTGTACTAATAACAGAATCATAGAATCATAGAGATCATAGAGATCCCCAAGGGTCATCCAATCCAACCCTATTCTGCCATGCAGGAATTCACAATTAAACCACCCCCAACAGATGGCCTTCCAGCCTCTGTTTAAAAACCTTCAAAGAAGGAGATTCCACCATTCTTTGAGGGAGCATGTTCCCCAGTCAAACAACCCTTACTGTCAGGAAGTTCCTCCTAATGTTGAGGTGGAATCTCTTTTCCTGAAGCTTGCATCCATTGTTTCGGGTCCATTGTTTCGGGTCCAATGGAGCAACAGAAAACAAGCTTGCTCCCTCCTCAATATGACATCCCTTCAAATATTTAAACACGGCTATCATATCCCCTCTTAGCCATCTCTTCTCCAGGGTAAAGGTACTCAGCTCCTTAAGTCATTCCTCACAAGGCATGGTTTCCAGACCCTTCACCATTTTAGTTGCCCTCCTTTGGACACACTCCAGTTTCTCCACATCCTTTATGAATTGTGGTGCCCGGAACCGGACACAGTATTCCAGGTGGGCCTGACCAAAGCATAATAGAGTGGCACTATGACTTCTCTTGATCTAGACCAGAGGTCGGCAACCTACGGCCCGTGGGCTGCACCCAGCCCGCTGACCCGCGCCAATTGGCCCCCGCCGATCCCCGCCGCTGCGTGCTCCCGCTGCCATTTTGTTTGCTGAAATGGCAGCTGCGACTCATTTGCACATGCGCAGGAGTACTCATTTGCACATGCGCGGTGGCGGCGGGGGCTGGTCGGCGGGTCGGGTGTGGCCCACGAGCCGTAGGTTGCCGACCCCTGGTCTAGATCAAGAAAAGTCATAGTGCCACTCTATTCTGCTTTGATGAAGCCTAGAATTGCATTGACCTTTTTAGCTGCCGCATCACACTGTTGACTCATGTTGAACTGGTAGTCTACTAGGACTCCTAAACCCCTTTCACACGTAGTCTTGTTAAGTCAGGTGTCCCCCATCCTACATCTATGGGAATGATACATCTTGTGGGGACATGGGGCAGGGTCTTCTCTGCTTTCCCTTAGAAGGCCCAATGAGCACCAACATTGAGTTTTTTTAGGCAACAAGTTAAAAGGTGGGTTTTTGGTAAAGCCTTTTGGGCTTCATCTTTATTTTTTTTAAACATGTAAATGTTTATGGTTTTAACTCTTTTAGCCTTTTTGGCTGTTATAACTCCAGTGACCTGTTTAGTATGCTTTTCTCCTATTTAAATTATTTTATGTGGTTTTTTTTCTGGTATCATTTAAAATTGTTTATGTTGTTTTAATTTTATGTTACACTGAGATCTCACAACAGAGGGTAGAAATAGAAATATTTTCTTCTTCATCATGATTTTAAAATTATTATTTATTATACTTTTTCAAAGAAAAAAAATGATCACATATAAATTCCATAACTAGTCATTCACATAATATTCCAGAGATCCAAATTTTCATTCTCCTTTTCTCCCATTCTTAAATCCTCCACCACCACCCCCCGGAACAACCTAACTATTTATTTTAATATCTATCTATCTATCATCTATCTATCATCATGATCACCACCACCACCGCCTCCTTCATCTGGAATTTTGTAATATATATGATTATATAGATGCAAAAGCCTGGTTGTCTAATGCAGAATAAAATCAAATTTGAACATTACACAGAGAACCAACATGGTACAGTGGTTTGGATGTTGGACTAGGACTCTGGAGACCAGGGTTCGAATCCTTGCTTGGCAATGGAAATCCACTGGATGACTTTGGACAAGTAACACTCTCAACTTCAGAGGAGGGCAATGGCAAACCTCTTCTGAACAAATCTGGCCAAGAAAACCCCATGATATGTTTGCCTTGAGGTCACCATAAGATGGAAATGATTTGAAGGCACACAACAAGAACAAAATGTTTATATGAATCATTAAGTGTTGGTTTCGTTTCTTACAATCTATATGGGCTATACTGGACTGTACAATACAATCTATACTGAGTTTCATTTTGCCACCAACCGACCAACCAACAATGGTCTAATTGCCCAGTCCTACCTTCAGTACAAAATGATGACCTTGTTGCTTCTAACACCATAAGAGTCTGAACAGTTTTTAAATTTCTGATGCAATTTTTGTAGCATCATCCCAGAGACATGGTAAACACTACAACTATAGGTTGAGTTTCTCTTATCTCAAATGCTTTGGACTAGAAGTGTTTTAATTTTTGGGCTTTGGAATATTTTCATATACATAATGAGACATCTTGGAGATGGGACCTAAGTCCAAACACAACATTCATTTAGGTTTCATATGCACCTTATACACATAGCTTGAAGGTGATTTTATATACTATTTTAAAATCATTTTGTGCATGGAATAAAGTTTGTGTATACTGAAGGTATCTCATTAGGTATGTGGCCTTTGAGGTCTCTTCCAACTCTATGGTAAATACAGATAATCCAAAATCTAAATAAATAAATAAATAAATAAATAAATATCCAAATTCCAAAACACTTCTGGCCCCAAGCTTTTCAGATAATAAGGGAGGCTTAATGGTATAACTATAACTTGCTCTCCCACATTTCACAGATGAAAACTGCCTAGTGATGACACTGACTGGGAGACATGTGGCCAAGCAACATCAGAGTATGGTCAAGGTGGCAAAAGGTATTAAGGAGGAATAAGACTCAAGCTAGGAGAGGTTGCAGCAGTTTGCTTTTGAATGAGCCTCTTGGGAAGGGCTCTCCTCCTCTCCTCCTTGCTGATTTAATTGAGCTATTTTTAATTTAATTTAATCTAATTTAATTTAATTTTAAACCACTTTTGCACTTTGAACTCAATTTGCAGAAACTGAAGTAAGCTGAGGACCAAGGGAGGGGAGAGAGAAAAACTGGGACATTTTAAAGGCATTTGAAAAAGTGGGAAGGCAGAAGATTGAGAATGTCTCTGCCCAATTGGGACAGTTGGAATGTATGCTGTAACCTGTTTTAAAACTGATGTAACTGTTTCTTGTCCAAGGTGATAGCATTTGAGAATATTTGTTAGATCTTTACAGTCTAACAGTTAGGAATCCAGAACCATACCTGTGCCACTTTAGCAATATTGTTGTAAAAGATGGCAGGGCCAGGGATGAAAAAATCTTCTCGCAACCATTTCACAACATTCCCTTTCTTATTCTTGTGCTTCTTCTCAATCTCCTTGGCTGAATGATACAGTATTGGGTAGGAAGAGGAAGGGGGAAAACACAGGATTAGTTATTAGTCATTTCTATTCACGCAACCTCCAAAACAAGTGATGCTGAGGACTGCTTCGGCTTTGACTTTTGGCCACCTTAGGTGGCTGAACAATGCAACCTTGTCTCCAAGTCACTGGCCAAAAGACCCTGTAGAGATCACAGATTTGGAAGTCCAGCAGGGGCCAAGCTGGGGAAGCACCTAATTTTGTTTTAAAAATATATTTAATTGCTTTTATTAGACATTAATTACTTCTAAATATTGCTCTTGCCAATAGCCAGGGTGATGCAGTGGTTTCAGTGTTGGACTATGGCTGCATCTACACTGCAGAACTAATGCCATTTGACACAGGTTTAACTGCCAAGGCGCAATGCTGTGGAATCCTGGGATTTGTAGTTTGTTGTGGCAACAGAGCTCTCTGACAGAGAAGGCCAAATATCTCACCGAACTAAAAATCCCACCTCAAACTCAAACACACTCTAAGCAAGTAAAGATGATAGATGCAACAATAGCTTTTTTCTGCCACAGTCTTGTCTCTTTTATAAGTGTTTTTTTTTGGGGGGGGGAATGTCACTTTGAGACTCTTTGGGTTGTGGGACCTTGGACTTCTCCCCAATGGTTCAGGGTTAATGGTGCCATTGAATTCCTCAGGGCCAGGCCCTGTTCTTTTGTACTTTGCATGCCTCTACATGTCTACAGATATCATGGATTGCAAAAAGGACAAATGAATGGGAGCAAATCAGATTTGCTCTTATAGCAAATCGGGCTTGAACTATCACTAGAAGCGAAGATGACTAATGGGGGTTGCAGACTGGCAGAAATAGTGCAAATTGAGTCCACTTTGAGGGTTAGGGTTAGTCCTAGGGAATCATGGGAATTGTTTTTTTTCTGAGACACTGAGCCTTCTCTGTCAGAGAGCTCTGGTGCCACAATAAAATACAGTTCCCATGGTTCCCTAACCCTAACCCTAACCCTAAAAGTGGACTCAATTTGCACTATTTCTGCCAGTCTGCAACCCCCCTAAATGGAGGCTTTTGTACTTTGTAATCATGGGAGGATGTGACTCATCAGAGAAGACAATAATAATGCTAGGCAAAGTGAACGACAGCAGGAAAAAAGGAGAAACCACTTTACGGGTGGATAGACTCCGTCAAGGAAGCCACAGCTGCTGCCCTGAGTTTGAAAGATGGGAGCAGGGCAGTGGATGACCAGGGATCTTGGAGCTCTTCCATCCACAGGGCTTCCATAAGTCAGCTTTATGGCAATGAACAGGCACTATGGACGTTATCACATGTGGGCCAGAAGGCGATAATAAAGTGGAAATGAGGCATTCTGAAAATAAACCGAAAATAAACCTTGGCTTTCACACGTAATTACCTTAATTGCGAAATTACAGTAAGCGCATTTAATGTTCACACACAAGCGAAAAAAGTCTGTAAATGTACTAGAAATGATATTTTGCACATGCGCAGATAGAGGAATGCTCGCTGTGGAACCATGGGAAAAAGCAGGGAAATGCTCCCAAATGCGCATTTGCTTTTCACATTACGGTAAATGCGCAATTACTGTAATTTCGCAAATGCATTTCCTCAAAACTACCGAATTTCAAAAGATTTCAGATAACACCAGTTTCTGTCCAGTTTCTGTGTGACGTCGTGTGAAATCGTGAGGCACAAATCCAGTTTCTGTTTGGGATTTGTGTGGATTAACCAGCAGATTTCCCCGTGTGATAACGTCCTATGTCTGAATAGCGGTTGCACTATATTGCTCCTAAATGGTGATCCTTAAGAGTGTGGCACATACTTACATAAAAGCTCATGCTAAAATAAAAATCAGTTAGTCTTAAAGGTGCTACTACAGTCTTATTATTCCCTCTTCCTTTTCCTTCCTCCTTTTTTTTTGTGATGCAGGAGACTAAGGACCTGTCTGCATGGGCCAGAATACTCTGGGAGCAGCCCAGAGTATTCTGGCCCCAGAGCTGCCCCAAAGTGCCCCTTTTACCTGGGCTCTCTGGAGCAGTGCCAGGTGGCTCTTCCCAATGTGTTGCCCAATGGTGCCAGCCTGAGTCGCTCCCTCTGAGGCCAAAAAGGAGATGCTCCGTGTCAATCACACAGCTGGGCACCTTGTTCTGACCTCAGAGAGATGGACCTATGCCAGCAGCAGCAGACGGCACAGTGAGATGCATTATACAATGTGCTCCAGATTTTCTAGGAAGATCAGGAGCAAAAGGTGAGTTTTTAAAATTTGTTGTATGGATGGCATACTGATGCCACACGTCATCAGGACCAGGGTGACCAGAGGTACTCCTTTTCCAGGTCATGTCATAAAATTTGACCAAAGGGAATTTCAGAATGTCTTCCATTCTGAGCCTGACTCACAAGCCCATATTTACATTTATAGTAGTGTTTTTAGCTTTTATTTGGTAATGTCCTATATGTACCGTAGTGGTTTGAACATTTGAGTGTTGAACAACGACTTTGCAGACCATGGTTTGATTCCCAGCTCGGCTGTGGAACCTACTCAGTGACCTTGGGCAAGTCACATGCTCTCAGCCTCAGGGGAAGGCTATGGCAAACCCTCCTCTGAACAAATCTTGCCAAGAAAAAACCCTGATAGGTTCACCTTAAGGTTGCCATACGGTGGAAATGACTTGAAAGCGCACAACAAGAACAACAACAATTTTGTCTTGAATGTCTCCATTTTGCAGTGCCTTTGAGGACATCTGGTCACCCTGATAAGGAAAGTTTGCACCAGTACCAGGCATTGGGTCATTTGGACTGATTGCCAGGAGGACAGGGGGAAACAGGGTTATTTGGCCTGTGCAGACTCGGCTTAATCCATCTACGTCTTTGAAATATTCTAGGAAACGAACAAGCCGAAGCAAGCCATTTCAAAGACAATAACCAGGGATCCTTGTGAGGCATGGAGCCAAGTCACCACTCCTTTTCTGCAGGTAGAAGTCAGCCCAGGCTTGACATTATACACGTGACAAGAACATTTGAGATTTCCCAGCATGCCCCCTCACCCATTTTGCTCATGATGATGTAGTGGAGATGGTACATTGCCTCTGCTGCTACCTGGCCAATCTCCTTCACACTGTCGGCGATGTGAAGGGCCAAGAGTGCCACCAGCTGGCCCAGCAAAGAAAACTCTGGCGTTGTCTGAAAAGAAATAAAAAGAAGCACAGTGGGCCTTTGGTATTCGCTGGGCTTTGGTTCAAGAGCCCCCCGTGGATACCAAACTCCATGGGTGCTCAAGTCCATTTAAATACAATGGCGTTGTAAAATGTTATCCTTTATAGAAAATGGAAAAATCAAGGCTTCCTTTTTGGAATTTGTACCTTTTTTTGGAACATTTTCAAACCGTGGATGCTTGATAAAAAAAAAAATCCATGTATATGGAGGGCTGACTGTAGGTTCAGGGGAGGCGAGGGAGAATGGAAAGTCAGCCCTAAGGGAGTGAATTGTCTGGCATGTTTTCAGTCTGCAGAGCTGGGAGTGATACAGAAGCATAGAATCA